TTTTTAGGACAGCGGAGGCGCTACAGGAAAATGGCTGGTAGGCTAATGGTTTGGAGAGAACCGATTTTACTATTTTTATACATTTGAATCGGCTGAAACCATTGTTAATCATGATACTTATGATGCTTCAAATGTCAAAGAGCGCGTCGTCAGTCTCTGTGGTAACTGTCATGATGTTTATTACCTGAGGTATAGGGATTTTAAGAAATTGATCAATGGGTCTGTTTGACTTATATTTGAGGAAATGACTAATGGGAAAATCGAGCGCATCTCTTTTGTTATATCGAGAGGTTTTGTATAATCCGAGAGCCGGGTCTAGGATTTCGACTGTGGTATTGAGGAAGTTACATTCAGTTCCTATTTTTAGGGGGCCAAGGTTTGTATGTTCAACCGTCTGTTCATTGAGTGTGACATAGTTGAGGGGGTAGATGTAGTACTTGCTCCTGTTACTCTTTATCTCAGGATCCAAAAACTCAAGTATCCTGGGGTTGTTGATGCAATTGAGATCATCGAAATATCTGAACGTGTTCTGAAATAGGGGAAGTAAGTGCAGGTTGGGTTGTAGTCTAAGTTTGTTCATAAATTTGTACTCATATTGAAAGAAGTATATATTGCACCAAATGGGTGAACAGCTAAGTCCCATCGGGATTCCAAGCGTCTGCCTCCAGATAAGTCCTCCTAATGAAGTATAGGCGTTATTGATTAACCATTTGTTCATGTGCGAAATCTGTTCTGCCGTGAGCACAATACTGTTATGTGGAGGAGTGTGTGTCCATCTAGTGTAGACCTTAAGATCTTTCTCTGAGCCCCTGAGAGTGCAGGTGAGCGTGGTACTTATCCCGATGTCCTTTTTGGTCTGTTTGAAAGCAAGCTTTATGAAGAAGTCTGTGGCCTTGGGTAGGCCGTCCATTGAGTCATCCGTGGGGATAGTTTCATAGCACCGGGTAATGTCAGTTGAGTACAGGGAGTGAATTTGGGGCGGTAGGTTATAGATATAATCTGAAACTGAATCAATTATCCACCAAAAGGGTACTTTGACCCCAGTTTCTTTTTCTGTTTTTTCTGTTAGCTGACCACAATGTTCTTTGATTGACACAGCCAAGGTTTTAAGGGAGGCAACACATATATCCGCAAGGGGGGAAAAAATGACGTCCGCAGTATTGGTTAGCCACCTGAAGGAATTTTTATGTTTCTTATAGATGGCCATTAGATAGGGAAGCTCTTTGGTTTGAATGGGGCAAAAAGGAAAGAAACCATTGATCTGGTGTTCTAGGGAGTGAAGAAGTTCAAAGGCTGAGACATTGCAAGGTGTGAAATCGGTACCTGAGATCCTTTGTAGAGCTAGGAACCTGATATAATTGATAGATGTGAAGGTCGGGGTGTTGGGTGCTTTATCGGTTCCAGAGACATAGAAGTGATCAGTTAGAAATTTGACTTCATTCTGAATGTGATGGCTGTTGAGGTTGATTTGTGCGCTGAGGAGCCGATCTGAGCATTCCTATCTTAGTACCTTTCGCAAATATCTGAACGCAAAATTTTGTTGTTCTGGGGTAAGTGTAATTCCCTCTTGGTTGAGGAGAACTAGACAGCGCTCAAGTGTATCGGAAGTTTCGCGTATTATCTCGGGGAGGTTGTATGGTTCAATGGGGATGTGGTTTCATACCCATACCGAGTTCTCTTCTAAGGTCGGGATTCTGGATGATGCTGAGATCAAGGGTGACGACGTGGGGGGGAAGATCATCATTTTCAGATGGTTGGGTGTACGCTGCGTACCTGGGATGTTGGCAAAAGCATGTGGGGTTTTGTTGTGTGTACCAGGTGAAAAGGTCGAACTTCTGAAATACCGATGACGGTTTATATAATACTTTAGAGATATGATTGTCATAAGTCCAGCCAAAGGTGAAATCTTTCAATCGGCTTACAGCTTCCGGGTTGCATTTAGAAAAGATCTCAAGGAATAGTTTTTTTGGGTTGACCCTTTCAAAGAGTCTGTTTTTGTAGTGAAGGTGCACAATGCGTTCTGGTATGGAGCTTTGTCTTTTCCACCCGCGCCTTCCATCCTCCATGATCCGGAGGCCGTTAACCTGTTGTTAGACACACAACGTGGGGGAACAATTAAATTCGTTATAGGAGAAACAACGACATTATTAAGGGAATAAAGGGTTAGGAAAACAATTATCTTATATATTCTCGGTTTACGGTCTCGGGAGGTGGTAACAAGATCATGGAGGTAGGGGCGTTTATGCATGTGTAGGGGGCTGGCTTATGGTGAGTACTTTTGAGGCCAGTTTTTTTTTAGGGGTCAGTGTAGAATTGTTGATTTCTAAAAAAAAGTATATAGGGAGAGAGCGAGAGAGAGGAAGAAAGAGAGAGAGAGAGAGAGAGAGAGAGAGAGAGAGAGAGAGAGAGAGAGAGAGAGAGAGAGAGAGAGAGAGAGAGAGAGAGAGAGA